CTGTATGAGATGCTATCGAAATTGCTGTTGGAGTGCAGGATGAACCGGCTGGAGGCAGAGGCTGACAGATGTTCCAGAAATATAAATGGCTATCAGAGAACTGAGTTTGAACTTTATTAGTCTGTGTAACCTGAGATGGAGAACTTTACTAATTGGTTTTTGCTATTTAGGTGAAGGTCTCTGTGAAGTGCCCTGAGACAACTTTTTGTGTGGTTTAGAGCTATATAAATAAATAAATACATGAAATAATAATAACAGGATTGAATTGGATTGCTTTATTTTTAAGCTAATCTTAATTATTTACTCTGAAGAAAAAGTTGAACTGAGTGAGTTCTTGAATCAGGAGGGACGTTCTAGTAACACACAGAATGCACACAATGGTTCACATAGGATGTTGGGATGCAAAAGCAATTGTGGTTAGGCATCTTGGATATCTGGTTCTGGTCGCACAGTAGTGGATCACATGTGTATAGTTGATGCAGAAAACTAGGCTGCTAACAATTGTGACTTCAGGAGACTACCGGATTGAAACGAACTGTACCTCCAGATGAGTGTGGCACCAGGGGCTGAAAAAGCATGAGCTAAGTTTGGAGTCATGAACTGAACTGAATGAAACAAAATGCTGGTGTCTGTGGAACTTTACTTTGTCCAGGAGGGGGTGCTGGACTAACATCATGATGAACTCTGAACATGCAGTATCTCCAAAGTCAGGCTGAAGAAAACCCGGAGTAGTGGTCAAGCAAATGTCACTACGACATCTGCGGCCTGGATTGAGTATCGGCTTCACATGTGATTTATGAGGGTGCGATGGCTCCAGTTTCAGGATGGATGTTGCATTTTGCTCTGACATAAATGCACTCGCATAGACACATTTTTCACACAACAGCAGGACTTTTAATTTTGAAATGTAGTATTGAGGTTGCTGGAACAGCTGCCTTATTCAATTGCTCTTAGACAAAAGAAAAGGTTAATTATCTTAAAGACTTGCATCAAAATGAATAATGCTACTCCTGAGCAAATTATTTGTTCTTTCATTAAGTTCAACTTTGTCTTTATAGGTTAGTCTCCATGAGTCAAAAGGACTGTTACAGGAAAGAGAAAGTGATGTTTTCATTTAATTTTTTAGGTTAAATCTGTCTGTTTTTGCCTCGGAGCTGCGGTCATTTAAGTTGGTCTGGTTTGCAACAAGGAATGAAGTCTGGTCATTTGTTGTTTCTAGTTGTAAATGATATTGGATCAATGTTAGGACATTTAGTTTTGTTGGTCTAAAGTCTAAGCTGGAAGTTCTAAAGTGTGGTTGATCTCATAGAGTCAGAACTACATTATTTCATATAGAGCTCTAATTTGGAAAAAAAAGTATTTTGGGTGAACATAAGGCAGGGATCTTACATTGCCAAAAACCGAATACAGGAAAACTTTTCTTAGATGTTTCTGAAACGGGACACTGCGGATCGTGTACAGTTTCAGAAAAGGGGGAGAAGGAACAGTGATTGATGTACAGACTTGCTTTGCTAGATCATTTGTGTGTATATGGGAGATTTTAAGTTATGATGCTCTTAATAACCAAAGCATTTCTCTTTCTTCCTTTGAATGGGTACAGGACGGTTCTCTTAGGGGGATGCCCCTAGACCCAGAAAAACAATGAAAATGTGGTGGATCTGTGTTCTTAAATACATTTTACGATGGTCATGTATTGTGAAACTTTTGTTTTTGTTTTACTTAAACAGATCTCCGGAGGAGCTATGGCAGAGCTGAATAACTGATTTTGACTTCCTTTTTATTTTTCCAGCTCCATTTATTAGCAAACTTAATGTTTAATGCTGTATTGTGCTGTTCTATGTCGTATAAGCTTCACCCTTTAAGGCTGTCGCTGATGGGTTTATCCCGTTATGCGCAGCATAAGCACTGAAAAAATTTAGTCCACGCCCACCTGCTGTGTGGGCCCCACCCGGTCCGTATAAATTACGTTAAGAGCGGGAAATCGGCTCCCATTTTTTCTTCAGCGAGCTAATATAGCACTGTCAGAAGAACAAAGAAGGAAAATTGTGTAGATGACCAACCTTTGTTAAGGATGCTTGGCCCGGCAGCCGACCTCCGGTCGTCTGGTGAGTTCTCCTCCCCGAGGAGAAGATGACGAGTAGTCCTAATCAAGGTAAGCGCCGAGGAATATTTCCCAATGACAGGTCACTACACGCTGGACAACGCCATCTTGTATTTTTTCCTCTTATCGCCGACCCTCGGAGCGAATCGGATGGTTCCTCCGGGATAGGCGTGCTCAGCTGCAGCCCCCGCTGCTTTTTCCCTCCTGGGGAGCGTAGTGTCGGTGGGGGGGGGCTGAGTGAATGCTCACCCCATCCCACCTCGTTTTCGCATCAGCGATCACACCGCTCCCGTCCAATGGCGCCCCAGGGGTTGTCCGGCGTAACCCAGGAGGAGGCTGACATGAAAGGACCCCTTTTTTACGTCCTACGCCTTTCCCGCCAGTTCGGATGATCCGGCAGGAAGGTTGTTTACTGGGCTCCATTCCGGCTCACCGTCTTGACCCATATGGCCTCGCGCTCCCAAAAGGACGTCCTACGGGCGAGGCCACAGACGGGTTCTTTCCTGGTAGATTGGGAGAGCCGTTCCCCAGTCCGCACCCATCACCAGATTGGAGGGGATCACCGGGCGGGGCTATCCCTCGGTAACGCCCCCTGGAGCCTCGCCTCGCGGAAGCTTCGGAGCGAAGCTGTCCAGGTTGGAGCAGCGTCCCGTCCCTCCAGAGAAACACGAACCAGACGGTGACCACACTCTCCAATCGAGCCCATCAATGTGTTTTCAGGCAGCCGCAGCTAGCAACAACGTGGCGCTGCTAGCATATAGCATGTCCAAAGGGGCTGAAGGCCGCAGACCTGCCTTGGAGACAAAGAACTCCCTCTGTAAGGCAGCAGACGTTATCTTCAACATGTGTGCCTCTTCTACGGGTTGCCTGTCGACGATTGCAGCGTGAATGACGATGATCCAACGATCCACCTGGTTTCATTACTCTCCCTCGCTGCCGGAGAAACTGCACAAAGACCTGATGGAGGGCCCATCACGGCGGACGCGCTGTTCGAGAGCAGCTTCAAACCATGCTGGCGAGTTGAAGCAGTCGGAGGAGGTGCCAGAGACTGTGCGCCACCTCATCAAGCCGCGCAGCTCATCCCGCCCCCCGGCCCACTGGAGGGACCGTCGCTAGCAAAGCATCGACGTTTCCACGGCCGCGGCTCTCGCTCAGTTCCACCACCAGCCCCGCCCGTCAGAATCCAGCCCTCTTCATTCCGGCAACCTGCAGTTCAGCGTTTCCTCAGAGTTCGCCTGCAAGACAGCGCTCTGGGCAAACAAATCGCAGAGCTCAAGAGGGAGAAGCGTTGAAAATGACGGTCTCCAGAGGGTGTGCATAAAAGTGACACGAAAGTTGAAATAAATCATCATTCAATGATCAAAGTGTCTGTTTTTTAGCCAGTCTGTAAGCTCGGATGAACTCACAGCGGCTGCGCACACATCCTTCACACATAACGAGCCGGTGTCCTTAAATAAAGGTTTTTTAAACCCACCGTCGCTCCAAGACATGACGAGTCGATCACACGACACAATGGTAAGCGAAAATATCTCGTTATCATCCAGAGCGGCACGATCCTTACCCAAGCGGTGTCAAACTCGCACTCGTGGGATGAAACAGCCTCCATCCAACGGCGCTGTGTTGATGTGGCACACACACACAGCTGCTCGGTGCTCTCCGGCTCACATCGGTATAAATGTGGACCGCAAGCTGGGTCAGGTGGAGGTCCTCGCTCTCACAAGAGCGACACTCGCCCCACCGAATCAAACGCGGGCAGCCGTCACCCACCGCATCGCAGCATCCGGCAGCTCATGGAAGCATAAAGCGTGAGGCAGCTGAACGAACCCTGGTGACGGGTCCCGCCTCCTTCCAGCGAGAGCGGCGCGCGTCCCTCCAGAGAAAACGTGTGCTCCCGCGGGGCTCGCAGCCTTCACTCCAACAGCACGGCGTAGATGAAGTCACGCCCTCCGCCTCTCAACGTTCGCACAGCGACGTCAAATGCGCAGCCCCACAGCGTCATCAGCTGTCACACGCTTTGCCTCAGCACACACCGGCCCACCTGTACATGAAGGTTGGCCCGCGGCCCGAACGCAGCGCACGGGCGCGTTCAGAGCCCTTTTCGAGGAAGCCTTGCCTTGGGTCACGCTGAAAACATTCCCGCGATGCATGACAGCGGTTTTGAGGGGCGGACTGCTGACAGCCGTACAAAACGTGACGCATCACTTAAACGCACGTTCACTCCACGAACATTACGTAGAGTGGCTAAAACATGCTCGCCGGTCAGATGGATGGACAGGGCGTTATGCAAATGGTTACAAGTTACAGTTTGCAACCCGACCCCCTCCGTCCGGAGGAGTTATAGAAACGGTCCTGTCATCATCAGTCCAAATTTCATCCCTAAATGCAAAAGTCCAAGTGTTTCTGATAAAAGTAATCTCCAGAGTTCCCCAACAGAGAGAAAACACAGGGTTTTACTCACGTTACTTCCCGGTTCCCAACGGACTGGAGGAATGAGACCGATCGTGGATCTGTCAGTTTTTTCAACAAGGTGATCATGGACAGACCATTTTTTCACATGTTGACAACCAGACAGCTGTTGTACAACATCCAGAGAAACGCATACCGATCATCCCAAAACACAG